ATTTGCTTCATAACGAATGTCACACTCTTTTATAATTTTTTTAAAAAATAATTTTCACCGTGATTTCCTTAATTCATTATAAATTTATAAAAATAACTTTTTCAATAAATTTACAAAGGATAAAGTAAGAAAGCAAAAAAAAATCGTGTGTTCTACTCTTTTAGGCATTATTCAATGGAAGTAAATCTTCAGAAAATCTCACCCTATAAAGGTCTAAAAAGAAGTATGCACATTTCAGTGACCACATCTTCAATGAAAATGATACTCTGTAAGAATAATTAAATTTATAACGAAAGATCCATCACAATATTACCAAAAATTTTAATTTTTGACGGATTTGTGACAAATTCTCGATTATCACATATTTGCTTGTCTTAAATAAATTATGATGGAATAATGACTATCGCAAATATTTGTGACGAAACAATTAGAGATGAATTTCGCTAATCTATCACAATTAGCTTCACCATTTGCTCTTTTCAATGTGTGTATTTTATTTGTTTTCTCAAGATAAAATTCAAGTTCAAGTTCATCAAAGATTCAAGAACAAGCTCCTAAGCCCATTGAATCCAAGATAAAGTTCAGAGACAAATTCAAGAATATCAAGCTCAAAAACCCTTGAATTTTATATGAAAAGACGAATCATAGAGATTGTAACACTCATAATTTGAAATCAATAAAGATAATTGTTGCAATACTTTTCTCGACGTGAATTTTATTGTCTACAGACAACATTAGCAACTCTTCAATAAGTTAACATGTAGGCAAAACCTCTATGTTGACATTAAAAAGTCTTGAACATTATTTTCAAAATTAATGCCAAATGAAACATCACTTATTGAAGAAGACAACAAATCTCAATTTGCCTTTCTATTTGTTGTTCAATTATTGTTGAGCATTAGATAGAAACAATTTGTTGTAGGCCTCAGTTAAAGCTACATTTATAGTAGTATAACCACCATCAATAATTAGGTTCAAACCACTCACATATTTAGAATCATCACTTGCCAAATACAACACTCCATTTGCCACATCTTGTTCTTCCAATAAATTAAAGCTGCTCCTTTCAAATTTCCTGCTTCAGCAAACCATTTATCTACCATTTCTCTCCCAGTTATTCCGAACGCCTTCAATGTTAGCGGTGTGCCAATTGCATAAGGAGAAATACAATTAACTCTTATTCCGTTGAACAAAAAGTTTAGCTGTGGCAGCTCCAATTCCACTAGCACCACCAGTTATAATTGCTACCTTACCTTTCAAGCCTATAAAAATATAAGTTAAAATGTTGATTAGTATTATTATCATTTTCGAAGCACAAAATAAATAAAGAAAATAACCTTTTAGCTATTGGGGATTGTAGAGAAGAGGTGGCCATTTTCTAAAACTATATATATGTCTTTTGCATATCCAAGGGAGATTTAGAGGCTCTATTTATAAGGGAGAAACATATTTGCCTAATTTTCTCAACCATAGCTTCCACCATTTTCATAGTGTTCGCCTAAATTATACGAATGAAGTTGCATATTTTGGTTTGAAAATCACAAGTCTAACTTATATAGATTGGTGCAAAAAAATATTATTATTTTTATCGACGCTCTCAAATCTATTCCAAAGTCACTTTAGGATGCGATTTTCAATCCGATTGATTTCTCGACATCTGATATCAAGATAATAAATTATTTTTATATGTTATAACAGGTAAATTTGTTTTATTTACAAAATTACACGTCTAACTTTTTATGATAAGATACTATATGTAGATACCTTATTGGTGATATGAAAGCTTAAAATTATCTTACACTTTTCGTGTATATACTTTAAAGTTTTAAGGTAAAATAACAATAATAGGTTAAAGGGCATTCTGAAGTCAATAAATATAGTTTAACTTTACCTATTTATAATAGAAAATCTAATTTATTTCCAGTCCAATTGAATTTTTCTTCTTTTAAGAAAAATTTTCATAAAAAGTTGTCAAATTAATCACTTTCCTCACTTTTGACTAACAACCTTAACTCTTTTTGTTAAGTTAAAAACTAGAAACGTGTCTATTTACATACAAATATGTTAGCAATGGTTGATGAGGACCATACTTCTAGCTACCTCATTCAAAGTAATTTACAATTTACACCATAACGTATGTCGCACTCTTTTGTAATTTACACTTTATATTTATTATTTTTGGAAAATTACACAGAAAAGCAAATAATATTAGTTAATTAGCTAATATAATATAGCTATAGTTTGAATTAATTACGGCTCGCAGCTTGATTTTAGCTTTAATTACGTCACTTGACCTCTTTTATACATATACAAATACAAATTATACACATATATATACAATTATATGACATATATACAAATACAATTAGCGCCTCTCCACTCTCTGACCTTTCTCGCTCACCTCTCTCCTCTCTCTCCTCTCTCTCCTCTCTCTCCCAATCTCACTCGCCTCTCTCCTCCCTCTCCCAATCTCTCTCCATCATATGTACAAATACATATGTATATCAGTTAAATATATATATATATATATATATATACAGTCCGCCTCTCTCCACACTCTGCCCTCTCTCACTTGCCTCTCTCCTCCCTCTCCCAATCTCGCTCGCCTCTTTCCTTCCTCTCCCAATCTCACTCGCCAGATATACAAATAGATATGTATATTAGTTACATATATACAATTATTTGACAGATATACATATACAATTCGCCTCTCTCCACTCTCTGCCCTCTCTCGCTCGCCTCTCTCCTCCCTCTCCCACTCTCACTCGCCACTCTCCTCCCTATAACATGTAGCTACGAATCGTAATTAGTAAACTATAATTATGGATCGTAATTAAGCTATTTTTGAGTGGCTATATGCGAAAGTTCCCCTTTTTAAAAATAATTTTCACCATGATCTCCTTAATTAATTCATAATAAATTCATAAAAGTAACTTTTTCAATAGTTTACAAAGGATAAAATAGGAAAAACACGATAAGAAAATCAATTGTATCAACACCTAAAAGTCATTCGTGTGTTCTCTTCTTTTGCGCTTTATTCGATGGAAGTAAATATTCAGAAAATCTCACTCTCCTAAATGTCTAACAAGAAATATGCACATTTCAGTGACCACATCTTCAATGGAAATGATACTCTATATGAATAATTAAAATTTAGGGATACGGCATAAGTATCACTCTAGATTATGATTGAAATTTCAGAGACATGTTTTAACTAAACTAAGGTCCTATTACCTTCCTGAATTCATTTTTTTTGTAATTTTGTACACATTTTGGCTTACGTGGCACACTCTGTAACTCCACGTAGTTTAGGCGTGTTAGAGATGTTTGGATGTCACGTAAACCAAAAAAGTGTACAAGATTAAGAAAACAATGGTTACGGGGGGGGAGGGGGGGAGGGGGGGGGAGTTAATAGGACCTTAATTTAGTTAAAAGTGTGTCTCTATGATTTCGGTCATAGTTTAGGGTACTTATGCCTTATAATGTTTATTCAAGAATTTTTACAAAGATAACAGTTTGTTGTTATTCCATCCACTTTTACTATTAATTGCTACTATCTACCATTATCAATTACATTACAAGAAAAAACAAGATTTGTAACGGAAAAATCCATCACAATTCCACCACAAATTCTACTTTGGGAGGGATTAGTGACAAATGAAATGAAATATTGAAAATTCCCCCGAACTTGACATAAATTATTAGTTTCGTCTCTGAACTATTGACAGCCTTAAAAACACCCCTCTACTTGACTAACTAATTTAGATACACCCCGATCTGTCACATGATATACCAAGGGGTCTCAAACTCTTGTAAAAGCATGTGACTTAATAAAAACCCAAGTTCTTGAAAACACCTTTAAAATTGACTAGAATTTAATAGTGTATTTCACTCAGTTTGCAAGATCGAGGTTGTATTTAAGTTCAGTTAGTCAAGTAAAAGTGTACTTTTAAGACTGTCAATAATTTGAAAATGAAACTAATAATCCGCACCATGTTTAAGGATATTTTCAGTACTTCTATTTTATAATTTATTATTATTATTTACAAATTCTGTGGATATATCATATACAAAGAATAGAGAGTTGACTTAGGCTATCATATCAATCTAACATATTGTACGATGCATATTTATCCATCCTAAAAGATAAAAGCATTTTGTTTGTAGTTGTTTTGTTGCTGGCCAGTAGACTCCTAACCACCTCCTTATATCATATCAATCTAACATATTGTACAATACATATATATCTTACTGACATATTTTATGACTTTTAAGTAAAATGCACATTATCTACTGATCAATTTAATTCAATGTCCTTATTTCACTGAATCAAATATGTCATCAATGCTTTATTTTGACTTTAAAATAAAATGCCTTTTAGGCTACTGATCGATTGACTAGTTGGTTAGATAAATGTCATTCACACAAATATAATATCTATATTTTAAGACGATTTTTAATTTTTATCCTTTTAAATATATATTTTTTAATTTTTGTCCTTCAATATTTTCACTAACAAATAAATAATCGAATATACTTTTGATATTGAAATAACAAATTACTTTTATAAGATATAAATTTACATTTTCGTATTATAGTATTTCGCTAGTCATAAGACATAATAAGTTATGTAATATAGCTTATATAACATGTTGTATATCGAAAAGGCATTGCAGGATTCTTAGAGAAAACATGAACTAACTCGGAGCTTAATAATGAATGAAGGAAAATTCTTCGAGCTTTCTCCGCCCACAATATTTTTCATGAGAGCACGTTGATTCTTAGCAATATGTCAAATGCCAACGTAAGTCATTCTCACGAGCATTCAATTAATGCCAACTCCCTTTAACCCCCTACTACCCACTGCCCCTATACGTACACATACAAAAAATAAAAATAAAATTCTACCTTGTTTTCCACACACATATATAAGGACTTAATTAGTAAGTTTTCTTTTTCCCAATGAAATTAAAATTCAAAAGAAACAAAAAGCCAAGAAAATGGTACTCCCAATTATACATACCCTTCAAATATCATTTTTATCACTTTTATTCTTCACATTTCTTCTTCATACTACAATATCTTACACCCCTTTAGCCAAAATACTTTTTTTTCTACTTACCACACATCTTCACTTTTTTCTATTATTTTCTCTATGTACACTTATTTCACTTTACTATTATTATCATACTCGTCCACATAGGGTTTTCTTGTTAAACTATACATGTTACAAACCACCACTACATAGGAAATGTTCTTATAAAATTTCTGAATCATACGTTCTCAAGAATGTACATTTAGTCGAAAAATCGATCGATTTCATGCGTAACATTTATCTTAAATCCGGTTTAGGTGATGAAACTTATGGACCACCATTTATATTTGAAGACGATGATGGTGATAATAATAATAATACGAACAATGTACCTACACTAAAAAGTGCAAATCAAGAAGCTCGAGAAGGGGTATTTTCGTCTATCGATGAACTTTTAGGTAAAACCCTAATTGATCCTCAATCGATAGACGTTGTCATCGTTACATGTGGAGGGTTTTCACCTTCTCCTTCACTCTCTTCCCTCATTGTGAACCGTTATAACCTTAGATCGGACGTGAAAACGTATAATTTGAGTGGAATGGGATGTAGCTCCGGGGTACTTTCGATTGATTTTGCAGCTAGGGTTTTGCGTGGGAGTCGAAAAGTCCAAAATGCCCTTGTTGTTATTACCGAGAGCATAACTTTAAATTGGTACCATGGTGAAAATCGTTCGATGCTTGTTACAAATTGTATATTTCGTGTTGGATGTGCTGCTGCTATAATGAGTAATAATCCTAAACTTTTCAAAAGGGCAAAAATGGAACTTGTTCATTCTCTTAGAACTCATCATGGTGCTGATGATAGTTCTTATAGAGCTGCAATTCAAGAGGAAGATGAAAAAGGTACGCATATATTTAGTACAGTCAAACATCTTTATAAGTTATAACATTCTTGTTTGATCTGGTATCTTTTAAATATTACTATTATAAAGAACATATAATATAACATAACATGAAATATCGATTCTACATATTGCAGGATATATAACATTTTATGTCTTTCTAGGAACATGCATCGTTGGATATATAGCTACATTTAAGTGTTTAAGATTTATATTATGTAATGATTGTTGTAAAAAAAAATATTTAGATAGGTTAATTTCTATAATAAACAATAGCTAGTAATTATAACTTAATAAAAATGATAATAAACTTGTTATAATAGGTAACTGATCGTCCGAAAACAAGGTGAGTATGTGTGTGTATATATATATATATATAAATTAAATCCTTTGATATTATATCCATAATATTCTAGAATTGTCTTTTTAGTTTCTTAGTTAAAGTTTGACATTATTTCATTATTAGCTTGTTTTTCGAATAGAATAGCATTATTTTATACTTAAAAATATTTAATTTTAAACTTTTCTATTTTATTTTTATAAAAAAAATTTACAGTCACACAAATATTATATGATATGTTTAAGATAAAGACAAATTCATTGAACACATGTATTTTTGTAGTTATAGAGGTTCATATCCACTATTTATTATAATTACAATGAATTTTTAATTTTACACAAATTTATACTTTACATTAAATATATTGAATTCAGATGAACCTAATATATTTATATATTAAATATCCTTCTTTCTTTCTTTCTTAAACTCCGTTAACACGGTTGTTCATATGACAGGTAATACTGGCATTTCACTTACCAAAGATTTGGTAAGAGTGGCAGGGGTTAACCTACGTCAACACATCAAAATCCTTGCTCCACGTGTCCTTCCATTAACACAAATCACAAATTATATTTACTCAATGATCATCTCTACAATATTACCTCAATCGAAATTCAAGCCAATGGTTCCTGATTTTACAACAGCTTTCGAACACATGTGCATACACACAGGTAAGTTGTCAGTCGGGGTGTCAAATGAACGGGTTAAATTAATTTTAAACGTATTTCTTAAAAGATACTTGAGTTGAAATGAGTTAACAAATAAATCATAATTTCACTTGTTCAATTATATTTTGTTTAATTACCTATGTAGCTTTAATTTTCTTTTATTATGACTATATATAATATATCAAATAAAAAAATATGTTTATAAAAAGAATTTGATAACATTTCTTTTTAATCAATATGAATAGTTTAAAACTTTTGATCTCTGCTTGTCCCATAGACAAACCATCAAAGTAGAAAGTCAAGAAATTTTTGGGTCAAGAGGGGTCAAAAGTCAAAGACTGTTACATTAATGTCATTCTTGTACATCACTTTTCAAAATAGACATATTATTTTTATGAGCTAATTTTATCGTTCTGACGATGCATATAGGTGGGAAAGCAGTTATAGAGCAAGTTAGTCGAGTCCTAAAATTGAGTGATGAAGTGACGGAGGCAGCAAAAATGACTTTGAATAGATTTGGTAACACATCTAGTAGCTTAGTATTTTATGAGTTAGCTTATTTTGAAGCACAAAAAGGTAAAGTGAAAAAAGGGGACAAAATGTGGATGATTGCATTTGGGACAGGTTTTAAAGTTGGAAGTTTGGTGTGGAAATGGATTCAAGATTCAACTCAAGATTGTGATAATCCTTGGAATGATTGTATACATAATTATCCATTGAAGGTTTGGTGAATGAATTTTAATTAATTTAAGACAATAAAAAAATTATATGGTGTAGAAAGAGATATCACAACCATATATGTATTAGTTAGTAGTTTATATAGAAAAAATGTAATTGGATAAGTCTTTATCCTTTTTGTGTTGTATTCGGAGGTAAGGTCAAGCCCCCTCTTTGTATCTGTTTCATGATATGTAATATTTCAGATAATCTAGAAAACTTAAGGTTGTTTTAGTAATTTGAACAAAAGAACATCTTATTCAATACTTTGTTACTAAATACATCAATTGTTAATCAACAATTTCAACAGTTCTATTCAAACACATAATTATTTATTTATGAAATTATTTTCAACACTTAACTCATATCAATCATTTATAATAGACAAATCCAAATAGACTCTAATTAATATCGATAACCAAACATAGAATAAAATTATTCCAAAATTGTTATCCCTTATCTCTTATCCCTTATCCTATCAACCAAACGGATAGCATCACTTAGGTTTTACTCCATGTATATCAACATGACAACAAATAGTTCAACATTTTCTTGGCTCAATGCACATTTTCAGGAAAAGATACCTTCTCCATTTTACTGAGTTCATTAATTAATTGTTAATAATGAAGAAATTAAAGATATTAAAAATAAAATTATAACAAAATAATATAATCCATGATTGAATGCCTGAAATGCCCCAACACAAAAGAGTTTTTTTAATTATTTTTATCATTATCAGAAAATATTATTGCGGCTAATTATAGCTATATTTATTTTTGTCCTCTTCGTGTATTCTTTATTAACTTTGTCTTTGTGTAGTTTTTTTATGGGACTCGGCATTAGAGCTTTTGATTAAATTCGAATCACGCACTGCAGAGTTTCTTTGTGAATGACGTTTTCAAATGGATTTTCTCCATACTCAGAACTTGGACCCGAGACCTCTAATTAAGGGTGAAACAGTCTCACCACTGCACCATTTCTCTGTGTACAATTATCTCTCTATGTTAGAAAGTGGAGTTTAAATCTTATAGAATAATCCAAGTGCAATGTCTTGGATCAAAATAGAACTCTAATTAGGTTTGGGGCTCCATGCAAATCTAAACAAGAATTAAATAAGGGACAAACTACAATTAAAGTGTGACCTAAAGTCACTATTAGTAATTTCTCCAGAGAAGTTATTTCTATTTTTCAAGAATGATCTTTATTCGTTGTAAAAAGGGAAATATATATATTTATACATAGTAGTTTTTGTTTTATTCTTTTTTAATTGAACTAAGAGTAATGAGCTAGAGAGCAAAATATGTACTACAGGGAGACTAATCCGATATGCAAGAACCACCTTTTATTCATAGGTTTCAATGAAGGATCACTAGTAGTGTTTATAACAAATTAAAAAGTATTTGACAAATAAATATGGACGGAGAAAGTATATAATAAGAAAACAGTCTAAATTTTCCCCTATATCCCTATCCACTGTCGTTAATAATAATGAGCAATTTCGACTCAAAGATATGAATAACCCCAACTTTTAACAAAAGTCAATATCAAACTATTTCGCATCGTTCAAAGACACTAAGATTTTATCTTTGAGTTCAAAATTAATGTTTCATACTCAAAAGTTAGTGTGGTTAAACATTGTAGAGATAAACCCTAATCGTTACTTGTACCCTAATTTATTCAAAACAATTACTTAACTCTCTTTATTTCATGTGACAACATTTTTCTTTAGCCCTTCTCCCAAAATAGTCCCACTACTTCCTCCTCGATAACCAAATTACACTCAACTTATAATTCACCTCACCTAAGTGACTAATAATATAGGCAGTAAAAACAAAAGAATAGTTACCATCATTTTTTTTAACTTTACCAAGGCAAGAAGTAAAAATAAAGATATTTTTTTAAAAAAAACCTACCTACTTTAATTAAGTTTCCTCTATAATCACGCCCTTTCTTGAAACATACTTCATAGTTCATATACTATTATAATTAAATGTGTAGTTTTGTAAAACAAAATGATGTATTTGAATGAGACTGTTTTTTTATGAAAAATATGTAGGTTTCTTAGATATCTTATACTTATTTTTAGTATTTGATAAGTAAAATAGTAATTAATATTATCTCAAGAGCATTTATATGTAACTTAGTAAAACAGTACGAGAGTGAAATGTGGTGGGGAGTGTTGTGGGGGTTCAGGGTTCGGGGGTGCGTGGGGGTTTGGGGCATTGGGTGAGTGGGGAGGAGATATTAATGAACTTGAAATATCATTTATGAAACTTGTTTTACTTACCTCCGTTAGGAAAGTCATTTTCTTTATTTTAGAGAAACTTCATATCTAAAAAAAATAAAAAATCGAAAGCATTGTGATTTGTGACTAACAAAATATGAAAAAATTAAAAATGTTTCATCCACACCATACACACCCTAAGAGGGAAAATACAGATAGCGAGATTTCTATAATAATCATTCATTTGGTAACAATTTACTATCACAATCAATTTTTTATTATATTATTACAACAGACAAATAATATATGAAGAAACGATATTGTTATAAAGAGATTTTACGAAATAATCATAATTGGGTGCTTAATCCAATTCCTTTTCTTTTTGTCTTTCACAATCTCCTAAGCTGGCTCACTGCTGTATCACTCCACTCTTTTCTCCCCTTCCCAAGGGATTCTATTTCTTGAAAATAAAAATAAATATTAAATTTACAATTCATTACATGAAAACAATACATATATTATATCATTTAACTTATCTTATTTACAAAATTATAAGTCGATTAGCATGAATTTCAAAAAGTGAATAGGTTATATAATATATGCTATTATAAATTATCTTTTGTACAATCAGTTTATCGAAAGGATATTTACATGTAAACCTCTTTAAAATGTGGAGTTTATAATCTTGAATATAAGAAGAATTTCAAAAAGTGAATAGGTTATATAATATATGCTATTATAAATTATCTTTTGTACAATCAGTTTATCGAAAGGATATTTACATGTAAACCTCTTTAAAATGTGGAGTTTATAATCTTGAATATAAGAAGATTTACCTGATACAATAGATAAAAAGTGACATGATTGTGTAAAAATAGCTTATGCCGATGATGTAAATAACATAAAATTCTTTATAGATAACTGGAAAACTACATAAAGAAAACTGATATTTAAATGCAGCTGTATTTTCTCTTTATTTTCTCAAAATAAACTTCATTAAAGTAAAGATTATTTCCGGATAGAAAGTTTACATAACAATTTTTTTTCAATATCAAGTTAGTGTTCCATAAAGATTACACAATAACTTTTTACTTCACATACATGATAGTTGATATTCCCTCCATTTCAATTTGTTAGCCCGTTAATGCTTCTTTCACTTTTTGGCAACTCTTTAATATCAATTTTCCACGTGACATGCTTTAGACCAGAATATTCTATATATCTTTAGTTAAAGTCCACAAGATTCAAAAGTCTTATATACTTTCTTAAACACTGTGCCAGGTCATTAAATCAGACAAACAAATTGAAACGGAGGAAGTAAATTGTTTTCAAACTAGAGATTGTGTGAATTTTAAGCACTCCCATCACTAAACTAGCCCTCTATCACATGCATGTTGTCTCCTATTATTAGACTTTTAACTATATCTTCCAAAAAATTTAACCATCATCTTTGTGTGTGCCACTACTTCTGCAAAACTCCCATTTCTTGATTTTTCACTGTCAGTCCACTTCAAAGGCTCAACAAATTTGAGAGAAGATGACAACTTTGTCATATTTTTTCATTATATTCTTCTTCTTGTTAAGTTGTTTGAGTCCAAGAAGAGTGAACTCTCTGTCTTCTGATGGAACAGCTTTGCTCTCTCTTCTCAAAGCAACTTATGACCCTTATGCTAAATCATCATCATCTTTTGTACTTTCTTCTTGGAATGCTTCAACTTCAACTCCATGTTCTTGGCAAGGCATTTCTTGTTCTCCTCAACAAAGAGTTATTTCTGTTTCTATTCCAAATACATTCCTCAATCTTTCTTCTTTTCCCTTTGAGCTTTTTTCACTTTCATCTCTTCAGCTTCTCAATCTTTCTTCTACTAATATATCTGGCTCAATACCTTCATCTTTTGGTTTGTTTACACATCTTAGGCTTCTTGATCTTTCTTCTAACTCTCTTTCAGGACCTGTTCCTTCAGAACTTGGTGGACTTACCTCACTTCAGTTCCTTTTCTTGAATTCAAACAGATTGAGTGGAAGAATCCCATATCAACTTGCTAATCTTTCTTCACTAGAAATCCTGTGTCTTCAAGATAATCTCCTTAACGGGTCGATTCCGAAAGATTTAGGCTCATTGGTATCACTCCAACAGTTCAGGATTGGAGGGAATCTAGAGTTGAGTGGTGAAATACCTGCAGAGCTAGGAATGCTCACCAATCTTACGACGTTTGGTGTCGCGGCTACTGGACTTTCAGGGGTTATTCCACATACATTTGGTAATTTGATCAGTCTACAAACTCTGGCAGTGTATGATACTGAAGTGTTTGGTTCAATACCACCTGAACTTGGGATGTGTTCAGAGCTCAGGAACTTGTATTTGCACATGAATAAGCTTACCGGTCCAATCCCTCGTCAGTTGGGTAAGTTACAAAAGATTACTAGCTTGCTTTTATGGGGAAATTCGCTTACTGGCCCTGTCCCGGCTGAGCTATCGAATTGTTCATCCCTTGTGGTTCTTGATGTCTCTGCAAATGACTTGTCTGGCGAAATTCCGGGTGATTTAGGGAAGCTTGAAGTTCTTGAACAGCTTCACTTATCTGATAATGCACTTAGTGGGGCTATTCCAATGCAGTTGAGTAATTGTAGCAGCTTAACAGCTCTTCAGTTGGATAAGAACCTATTATCCGGCACGATTCCTGAGCAAGTTGGTGAGTTGAAGTACTTGCAGATTTTCTTGTTGTGGGGGAATTCGGTTTCAGGAACTATCCCGGCTGCTTTCGGAAACTGTACTGAACTGTATTCACTTGACCTCTCAAGAAACAATCTCAGTGGTTCAATACCTGAAGAGATATTCAGTTTGAAGAAGCTGAGTAGGTTGTTGCTTCTTGGGAATTCGTTAACGGGAAGATTGTCTCCGAGTGTGGCAAAATGCCAGTCTCTGGTCAGGTTGAGGCTTGGCGAAAACCAGTTTTCTGGACCAATACCTGAGGAGATAGGACAGCTGCAGAATCTTGTGTTTCTTGATTTATACATGAACCATTTCTCTGGTGAATTGCCTTCTGAAATTGCCAACATTACGGTTCTTGAGCTGTTGGATGTGCATAACAATTACCTAACCGGGGAAATACCATCATCGCTGGGAGAGCTCGTGAATTTAGAGCAGCTTGATCTCAGCAAGAACAGCTTCACTGGTGAGATTCCGTGGAGTTTTGGTAATCTCAGTTACTTGAACAAACTTATTCTTAGCAATAATCTGCTTACTGGTCCAATTCCAAAGTCATTTAGCAACCTGCAGAAGTTAACTCTACTTGATTTGAGCTCCAATAGTTTATCTGGTGCAATTTCACCTGAGATTGGTTACATGACAAGCTTAACAATCAGTTTAGATTTGAGCTCAAACCGATTCACAGGTGAACTCCCTGAGACGTTATCCGGATTGACACTGTTGCAATCTCTTGATATTTCTCATAATATGTTGAGTGGAAGAATCACAACTCTAAGCCTCTTAACCAGTCTCGCTACTCTAAATGTATCGTATAATAATTTCTCAGGGCCTATTCCTGTAACACCTTCCTTTAGAACTCTAACATCAAACTCTTTTCTCGAGAACTCACTCCTTTGTGAATCAATTGATGGCTTCACTTGTTCTGCACATATAACTAGAAGGAACGGATTGAAGTCTGCAAAAACCATAGCTTTGGCTGCAGTGATTGTGACTTCTGCATCCATAACAGTCGTGGCAACGTGGTATCTTGTGACAAGGAAGCATAGATATGAATTTGAGAAATCACCTGGCATGTCAGTCTCTGCAATAGGGACAGAAGATTTTTCCTATCCGTGGACTTTCATCCCTTTCCAGAAGCTCAATTGCACCGTTGACAACATCTTGGATTGCTTGAAAGATGAAAACATTATAGGGAAAGGCTGTGCGGGGGTTGTTTATAGAGCAGAAATGCCAAATGGCGAGTTGATTGCAGTGAAGAAGCTCTGGAAAACAAAGAAAGATGAGGAACCAATAGATTCTTTCGCTGCTGAAATTCAGATTCTCGGTCACATTAGGCATCGAAACATAGTGAAGCTCCTTGGATATTGTTCAAACAAGAGTGTTAAGCTTCTTCTCTACAACTACATCTCAAATGGTAATCTTCAACAGCTCTTGCAAAGTAACAGGAACTTGGATTGGGAAATCAGGTACAAGATTGCGGTTGGATCAGCTCAAGGCCTTGCTTATCTTCACCATGACTGTGTGCCAGCAATTCTTCATAGAGATGTCAAGTGCAACAACATACTCCTCGACTCTAAATTCGAGGCTTATTTAGCAGATTTTGGACTTGCAAAGCTGATGAATTCTCCAAATTATCATCAAGCTATGTCCAGAGTAGCAGGCTCTTATGGCTATATAGCTCCAGGCAAGTATCTTTCAACTTTATTTTCTCATCTTAACCTAAATGTTGTGCAGCTATATGATGCTTTGAATCCTTGTGTTGAATCGTGTGATCATCGCATCTCTAAAAGCTTAAGTTATTAGAGAAAGGATACACTTTTGTATACACTTTTCTCTACTAAATCATATCTTCAACACATGCGGCTCTGATTCTTGCCAAGCACGTGGATAATGGGTGACGCTTAGACTTCAACCTAGGATACCATGTTGAAATGTGTGACTCTCTCATTTAGTTTAAGTTATTAGAGATGGTACACATTTATTTACTTCATTATATCGTCAACAGTTCCCAGATATAGGTCAAAACGAGAGTCACAACGTTATGAGCTATAGTCAAATTTGGAAGGATAAACTAAACAAGTTATGCTTCATAGATGTTAACACTATTTTTTACCACTATGGTTGCAGAATATGGATACACAGTAAATATAACAGAAAAGAGCGATGTCTACAGTTATGGAGTGGTGCTGCTGGAAATATTGAGTGGACGTAGTGCGATTGAGCCTCAGATTGGTGATGGACAACACATTGTCGAGTGGGTGAAGAAGAAGATGGGAAGCTTTGAACCAGCTGTTACAATTCTTGATTTGAAGCTACAGAGTTTACCGGATCAAATGGTGCAAGAAATGCTTCAAACACTTGGAATAGCTATGTTCTGTGTGAATTCATCACCCACTGAAAGGCCAACTATGAAGGAAGTAGTGACACTTCTAATGGAAGTGAAGAGCCCAACTGAAGAATTTGGAAAAACTTCTCAGCCTTTAATCAATCAGTCAACTCAAAGTTGATTCATTTTTTGCTCACATTTTCTCTCTTTTACTTTAGAAGAAAGACTAGTCATTCTATGAAAAGAGAAGGAAAGCTAGTTTTGTTGCATAGGTTATTGTAGGGATTCTTGTACAGTTCCACAAACATCTTTATTTCCTAAGGTAGAGGTGTTTGGCCGAGCTTTTAGAAACAAAATAAATGTTTTTGAGTGGTGCGGAAGTTGTTTTTCAGAAGCTAAAAAGCAGTTTCTCCCCGAAAGTACTTTTGGGACTTTGAAATTGATTAGCTAAACACAAGCTGCTACTCTGCAAAAGTACTGTTTTGAAAAACACTTCTAACAAAAAGCACTTCTTGAAATAAACACAGGCAATTAGTTTCTCAAGACTTCAAATTGGTGTCCTTGTCTTTCAAATAACTAAAATTATGTAATTGTAATTGTATAGAAATAAAAAGGTAGAAGAAGAAAGATACATTTACAGCCTTTCAAGGTAAATACTTACTGTGGAGGCTGCAATGTGACATACAATTTTCATTATCCCCAAGTAGTCATCTGTTGGCAGCAAAGGAGCATCTACAGAGGTCAGATATCTCCACCACGTAGGGACTGTCGATACGTCTCGCAAAGTGACTTGTTGTGGAGACTTTTTTCCCAGTCCAACCTGTGTTTTAGGTTTGGGTGTGTAGTTGGTCGAAAAAAATTCATAATCAAGAAAGATTTCTGTCTCTGATGACAAACATAGGGTCACTAAACGGTAAAATGATGGCAACATAGTGACAGAAAAGGAACAACAGTGACCTGACAAAATGGCTCTTTGCATTGCACAATTTGATGACCAAAAAACAAAAATCATCGATTGTAGATTTTACAAGAAAGAAAAGAAAACAAAGTTCCGTATACATGATTGAGCCCTAGCCATGTTAAGCAGACTTAACCCTTGTATTTTTACTTGACGATGAACTCCTACCCCTGAATCCAACAACATTTAGTTTCTTTGTGGAGAGGCTAGAGCTTCGGCTATCTACTCGTCTCTTTCCAGTAGAACTGCTGGTCTTTTTGGACAAGTTCATAGCTATCTTTGGTTTTGACTTAGATGGTACTTTGCCAAACTTGGTTCCTGGGGATCTTTTTGAATCGGTAGTCTTTGGAGATCTTTTTGAATCGATAGTCTTTCTTGTAACACTCGAGGATTTGCCTGTGGGAGCTGTAGTCTTGCCTCTTGAATTTGAAACTTTCACCGACTTTTCACGCTTGTCCTTCTGTTCAGTTATGCGAGACCTGGCATTGTCTCTTTTGATACCGTCTACTGAGAGAGACTCCAAGCTCTCATTCTTCTTAATGGCTTCCTCAATGCAATTGGCCAAAAGCAAGTCCTTTTTGGCAATTAAACTTGTTACTTTCCCTACCACATGCAAAAAAAAGGTATTTTGAGCTTAGCAGGCATGAGATAGTGTCAACTGAAACAAAAAGCTCAAATAGATAGTGAGAATTTCAAACTTGCATGAATGAAGTAAGAAGCACATGCATCTATCAGAAACCAAGAAAGCAAAGCAACATCATCAAAAGCATTATAATTTACCTTTGGCACCCATACGAGCAGTCCTTCCCGTGCGATGGAGATAATCAATCTAAAATGTCAAAGGAAAAGGATAAGGATTTATACATAAAATGAACTGGTGTTAGCTTGTATTGGCAAGATGATGTCATGTTTTGCAAAGCCGACGATGGTGCTTACAGAATTCTTAGGGAAATCAAACATGATGACATGATCAACATCCAAGTCCAGTCCTCTAGCAGCCAAGTCTGTGCAGACTAAAGTGGGACAATCTCCTTCATTGCTCTTAAACTTAGCAAGGTTTTCAACCCTGCAGAAGAAAAGTGTTATGAATGGAGGGTAAAAGTGAAGCATATAAAACTTGATTGAGTGGTGCTTCTATTACAGGGAACATAAATCTGTTAGAATCATGGGCATTTCATCTATCTTGACTTTCTAACATCTTGGAACTTTACACCTAAGAAATAAGTAGTTCATGCTCTTTGACTCCAGCTAGTTTTCCCCTTTGTAGAAAAGTTTTAAGTAGCAAATTAACCTTATTGTGGTTCTTTCCATCTTTTGTCCATGAACAGTGGCAAAAGAGAGCACAACCATAGTAATGACTAACAAGATATTTTGTCCTTATGATCCTCGAGATGAGGAATGTCTGATAACCAATCAAAGCTAAAGTCAGAAATTCATATCTTCCCGCTAGAAGTGAAGAGGTAGAGCATGGAGGAGGTCAAAGTAAAAGGAAAAGGATCAAAGAGAGTATGCAGCAGATCAGGCAATGCATTGCCTGTTGCATGAATATTATTCAGCTGTTCTCTTCTTACCTTTGCTCTGCTGGAACTTCCCCATGGTAGTTAACAGTAGAAATTTGAGTTTCATTGAGAAAGTGATCCACAGCACGACTGGAATTCAACGTGTTACAGAATACCATCACCCTATTTCCCTTTGCTAAACTTGGCTCAAGAACCTGGCAATTACATAATGTAAATCAGAATTTTCCTGATTTATATATTGTGAACTACAATAAACATTATATGCAAAACTTAGATTGTTCTTTTGTCAACAGCTTGTATACTGCCACCCTATGGAAAGAAATCACACATCTCTCGAATATGAAAATAGGACTTCTGAGTGTTGAGAGCCACTAAAGCCAAGAGATAACAACAACAGGAGTGTAGTTAATTCTCCTTACAATCTTAATCATTTCTTCTTCCGCAAATTGACCAAATGTTTCAAATTACTGACAGTAAAACCCCATAAAACTTTAGCAATCACACAGCTGAATTTGTTCATTAAATATGTGACAGTCTTTTTTTTTATGACAAGGGAAACCCGCAGCCGCTACCTTAAATATGTGACGGTCTATCAACTAGATACCCTTCATAATCTGTTAACTAGATTTCCTTGAACAGAAAGATCAAAGGTCTCGTTATGAGAAGGGGACAACAATAGAAGTCAGTCAAAGTACCATAGTAGTAATATTAAAGACAGACCTAAATGATTCACATACGCGGGTTTCAATTAGATTTATATTTTTCTGTTTTCTCCCAAAAATACAGACATTATATCAGGCTGTATGTACGCACTTATAAACATGCCTGGCATGAAGGAAACAAGTACATAAACAGTGCTACACCTGTAGTAACGCCTCCATCTTGTTCTCAGAACCTGAAAGCTTGATGAAATCATGACGAGCAGAAGCAATCTTCTTATGTAATGAAGAAGTACGCAAATGCTCAATCCCTTGAAATTCCTCGTCAACCAGCTTTTGAACTGCCTGCAAAGCATACAAATATCAACTGAACAGCCTCTTAAGTATAAAATGTGCAAAATGAATCGATTGAAAATGCATAAGATGGAGATGAATTGCATGCAAATAATGCTACATCACCAGAAATAAGCCATTCTACAATGAGACTATCATGTACAACTGCCTAATCAGTGATTTACAGTATGTTAAGGATAACTTTGACGACAAGCCACTCGCCTTGAAATCTTAACACAGGATCTTAAGCAATTAGGGTGACATAATACAATGATAGCACTGCTTTGATGACAAGCCACTTACCTTGAAGCCTTAGGAGATAATACAGGATCTTAATCAATAAGAGTGATATGATACAATGACAGCACTGCTTTCAGCAGTAAGAGCTGAGATTCTCCTCGTCTTGCACATGAAATAATGATCCAAACAAAACTTTCCTTGCTAGTTTTATTTCTCTTGCAGCGCATAAAAATATCCTAGACAAATCCAGTGATAAAAGGATAATTATATATCAATATTAAGCATTGCATCCTTTGTTGAAACTTATGGGACAAAGCTCTATTCATTGTTTTCCTATCTTCCCTTTCCTTTGTGATTTTTAACTTCTTGAAAATTTTCTACAGCATTCAGTAAAAACACTCGGAAGGTGCATGTACACTAATCTTTTGGCAAATCTAAGAAGGGTGTATAGATGGCATCGTGTTCCATTTATGTCAAACAGATTAAACAACTATCACCATTGTTCTTGTCAAAACAAGACTCATTAGCAATTACTAGGCCCGCTATAATTTATTTTTGATAAGATAGGTCAACTATAAAGAGCACTACAGAATAATTTATGTAGCAAACACTTCTATTTTTTCTCCTTTTCTTTAGGGGTTGCCGGATGACCCTTTTCCACACAGCTGCATCATGTAGGTGGAAGCCCAAACACCCATGGAGCTTATACTACAGTAATTGATAATTAAAAAACAAGTTTCTTTTTATAAACAAGACAAAATTAGATACTTTCCTTTTCTTTTTTTCCTTTGATACTTCATGAGTAACAACACTACCTCTTCGCACCCAAGGGTATGGCCTAGTGGTTAAAGAAGTGAGCAATCATGAGGTCTCAAATTCAAGTCCCAACCGAGGAAAAACTACTGGGTTATTTCCTCCCTCTGTCCAAAGTTAGTCAGCATTTCTGCTGGTGGGACGTAACAAGTGCTCCGTGAAATCAGTCAAGGTCCATGCAAACTTACCCCGACACCACGGTTATCAAACTTCATTGCAACCATTGAATAGAAAAAGGATTTTTATGTATGCCACCATAACTGCAGCCAATCAATAGCTAAACTTCAACCTACATCATGAGTAATAAATGCTACCTCTTCACACCCAAGGGTATGGCTTAATGGTTGATGAAGTGAGGTGAAAATCATGAGGTCTCAAGTTCAAGTCCCAACCATGGCAAAAATACTAGGTGATTTCCTCCCTCTATTCAAAGTTAGTCAGTATATGTGCTGGTGGGACATAGCAGGTGCTCCGTGTAATTAGTCAAGGTGCACGCAAGCTGACTAAGACGCGGTTATCAAAAGAAAATCTCTACCTCTTGATATCAGAAACTTAAACATCAACAGCTTCGTTGACTAAGAAATTTTATGAGGGTCAACTTCATTGCAACCAATGAATAGAAAAAGGAACTTCATGTATGTCAGCTTAATTGCAGCCAATCAATAGCTAAACTTCAACCTAAACTATCAAGATACATTTTTTAAGTACATTTTTAAAGACAAAAGCTTAAGAGACATGTTGGTGAAAGCAACCATCAGTTTTAAATAAATTATTTATTTAGTCTTTCACAACCCACTAGAATACCTTTGTCATTGTTGCCGTCACCAAAACAGTTTGAAATCCTTCATCACCAGTCTTTGAAGCACGGTTTTTCAATGGTGCAAGAAATTTTCGTATATCAGGACCAAAACCACGATCAAACATGGTATCAGCCTCATCCAAGACCTATCCAGAGATTGTCACAGTTAGATACATGGAAAACAAAGTACCTACTGGAAGAAACAAAAACAATTACCAAGTATCTGATGTCACCATAAACCATATTTCCCTCTTCAATATGTTGTAGAACCCTGCCTGGAGTCCCCACAATCATGTCAATTGGGCTTGCCAAACAATCTTCTTGAGGTCTCAGACGGCTGCCACCACTAATCATGGTAGATCTGAATCGAGCATGATGACTGATAGATTTTGCCACACGAAAAACCTGCAATGTCGATTGAATTCCGTTAGCCAGAAGAGTCCTCTCACTTTTAATTAAGAAAATCCTTTCATTAATGGTAAATAACCTGCTCACAGAGCTCCCTAGTAGGGCACAACACAACAGCTCGGGGGCGCCTAGGCTTCATGAGCATACCATCCAATTCCTCATCTCGTCTCAACAACTGAAATTCAAACACCATGTCAAAAAGCAAAACTATGAATAAGAGCTAACCTACTAATCAGCTCTAATATGACGTTACACAAAGACATGAGTTTTTATATAATGGTTCACTAGTACCTCAACCAATGAAGTTTGTGCGATTTAAAGTTTAAAACCCATTAAATTCTTCAAACCTACAAAGCTAAATGCAATTCAGTTTTCAATACAAGGAAGCTCCATTTATGAAAGACATTCCACTGCCATGATTTTTTATAGCTACAAAAAACTGGTCAGGCAGAATACTTCAGTTTTATGCAAAGCCAAGCGAAGTTGGATTAGGAGTTGAACCAATCCGATCCAATTTTAGATTGTCTTGTTTACTTCCCCAAACCAGTATATAGGCTTAGTTGATGTTGTTATACTTACTAGACAGTGTTTTGGATGGCGAAAGGCGATAAAAGGCGACAAGGGTCTGCCTCGTCACAAGGCGAGGCGAGCAGCGAGGCGCTCACCTTTTTGAAATGCGATACCAATTAATACCAAAAAGTTAAAATATTTAATTGCATATGTAAATAATCAAATTCTCAATAGCAATAACATATTAGCAAATATTTCAATTCAAAAATTGAAATAGATAGTACATACTAAAAGTCTAGAACTTGAATGAGAAAAAAACAGAACAAAAGTCAAAACAGAGGTAGAAGTGACTATGAAGTCTGATGAAGAAGAAGGAAAAAGAAACTGAGGAAAAAGAAATCTAAAGAAGAAATATGTACTGGTTGGACTTTGGAGTAGCCGGAGAAGTATGGCTGGTCACCGGAGGTTTCTAGTCGAAAACCCTAAAATTACCTTTTTACTTTTAAAACCCTAAATTGGTCGCATTTTTTTTTAAGATAATACAAAAGGCGACGCCTTTCCCGCCTTTCTTGCCTCTCGCCTCTCACATTTGGTCACCATGGCGTCGCCTTTTGGAGATCGCCTCGCCACAAAGCTAAAAGGCGATGAAGGGTCGCCTTGCCTCGCCTCTCGCCATTGGCGACGAGGCGATCGCCTTTTACAACACTGCACTAGGACTGGTGTTTGCAGGGAGTTTGCTTTTTAATCTGGCAATTTGCAAATCAGTAAATGATAAGTATAACATTGTCAGAACCTCATGTTGAGTACCTCTAATTTTCGTTAAAAGGTCATTAATTTAGTAATGGAATGGAACAGAGTTTCTTGGAAAAAAAAAAAAAAATCTTGTTATTTTAATAATCGTTATACTGACAAAAGACAAATAAAGCAACTGTTTAGGATCAGGAATAGAATCTCTGAAGTAGTTGCTTGAATTTGTAAATCAAGACAGGGCTACCCCAACTGGTTTCATTGAAGGGTAGTTGATCAATTTATATAACTCGCTAAAATTGTTGGAATTTCAGGCAGCATAGTACATCATCCTGGATGAAGTTCATCCCTTTCCTAAGTTATAGCAATATTAATCCAAACCATCTCCTCCAAACTTAACTAAAAAGGAAAACATAACATGACAAGCTACAGCTAGTATTACTCACTAACTAACAACAAATACAAGTCATTATACATTATCAAACAACCAATGTGAGTACAACAACAAAAACATATTCAATGAAATCCTACAAGTGCGCAATTGGAAGGGTAGAGTGAACACAAACCTTACCCCTACCTCGTGGAGGTAGAGAGGCTGTTTTCAACAGATCCTCAGCTCAAATGCAGCAAATCAAGTAGTTATGAATAGAAAACTGACAGTAATGAAAACATGGCAATTAACAAGGAAAGCAGTACAGAGCATCCATAATAGGAACAACAACAACAACAAATCAGCACAATGACCATAACACAATGGAATCAAAAGCAAGAAACTACATGAATAAGGCTAATACTACAAAACAGTCAGAAATGAATGTTTCACCTGAACAATAGGCAACATATAAGCAAGCGTCTTCCCAGAACCCGTATGCGAACCCAATACCACACTTTTCCCTTCAATCACAGCAGGTATCCCAATCGACTGAATCTCAGTCGGTTCCGAAATACCCATTTCACCTAAAGCCCCCATAACCTCTTCCGTCAACCCCAATTCCTCAAAACTCGACGCCACCGCTTTCTTCTTACTCTTCTTAACCCCTCCATCATCAACCTCCGCTTGTTTTCGTACTAATTGCTTGATTTCAGAATTGGGTTTTGGGGATTCTTTGAGATGTCTAAGTCTAAGTCTTTCTAAAAGAATTGAATGCTTAACGGGTTGAAGTGCATCTTCTTCTTCTTCAGCAGCAGCAGCAGCATAAGAAGGAGCACTAGTAGTTGTAGAAGAAAGGGGTCTAAACCCTAGATAAACCCTACGAGGCTGAGGAAGAAGAGGGTTTCTGGTTAAGGGGAAACGGAAAGGGATGAGAGAAAGGTTGAGCAGGGCTCTGCCTGTAACTCCCATTTGTGCTGTCTGGTAGCTTGGTTGATGACTCTAATGGAGTATATTACAAAGGCTAAAGCTCCACTTCTGATAATGGCAACCAAAAAAAGAAAATAGAAACTCAATAAATATCTTTTTTATTTATAATAATGAAATTATAATATAAGGTTTTTATGTGTACAAATGTACATATTTAGTTTATATGAAAAAAAAGGTTTATTTTACCTCTTTTCTATGAGAAAAAGGATCAATTTTACCCAAAATTATATTACTCGTATAACAATGTCATTTCATTTCCTAAATGGTTCAAACATATTACGTATAGTTTTGAGGTGTCGTGTAGAATTGAATCCAAGATTTTGTTCACAGGTTTGACATTCAGAACTTTCAATTGAACCGAAATCTTATTCAAAGGTTTGACATTCGGAACTTTCAATTGAACCCAAGATCTTGTTCAGAAGTTTGACATTCGAAACTTTCAAATGCTCGATCCGTCTTCGTTAGGATGTCTAAGGTGGACACCAAATCTCTTGCCAATGCTCAACTCTATTTTGTTCCTCCACTTCATTTGTGTCCTTCCATAACTAGCATTTGAGATATAGCACCTGAGTTTAACTTAATCTCAAAAGCTAACTCATGAAGAGAGGTTTGTTTAAATCCATATAAGGAAACCAAATTCTCATCTTTCTTAACAAGATCTTATTCGAATAATGATCACATTAATGTCTATTGCCTCTCAACTTTTTTTTGTTTGATAACTAATGTGAATATTACCATAACCAACAAGCACAAACAACAAATACAGCTAAAAGCCTTGCTACTGATGAAGTGTCCTTAAACCAGCAATGAAGAACAATGGCAGTTAGAATTCCAACTCATATAACAATCTTTATCTGAACAACATGCCATTGCGAGTAACTAAATCTGTCTCGGGATAAACATAGTACATTTTTCAAGGATCCAACATAGGTGCAACACATTTTAGGAAAGTCCGAGCAATATAGCCCAAGAATAATGCCTATAAGAGAGATGGTTGTGTATGCTAATTAAGACGTTGGATATAGCACACTGAATGTGGTTTCACAAGTACGATCACTGTGTCTTACATTAAGTTGTCTAGCATATTTTTTAGACATAATACATAAACGTGTCATTTAACTTGACAATTCTATGAAAGTAAAACTAGGGAAAGCAGAGATATATATCTGTAAACTGCAAGAAGACATACATGTCACATGATATAATTGATGAAATAATTAAACGTATGTGTATAATATAATGTCCTATGTTATATTTGTACAAGAAAATTACAAAGGGATCCCGATTGCTTTTTATGGAAATTATGAAGTTGTTTTCAAAGTCCATTCATTGAGGAAATTCAGTGGGCATTTCATGGCTGCATATGATAGAGGAACAACTTTCATGGTTGTGTTTGCCTTCATATGTAGTAATCACACAGCTTGAATCATGTCCATGATCTCTTTCTACTCTCTTCCCTCCTCGACGATGAAAATTCAATTCAAATTCTGAACCCGCCTCTACATGATTGTAAATAATAAAGGAGTTGATTTCATGATTGTGTTTACCTTCATATGTTGTAATCAAATAGCTTGAATCATGTCCATCTCTTTCTACTCTCTTCTTAACCTCGCATCCTCGAATTGAACACTTGTAGTAATTCCTATTTGATTTTGCACAAGGAAGAATGATCAGAATATGATAAAGCTTATAGAAAATTAAATTTTACACTTGTCACTATAACAAAAATAACTTTTTGCGATGATAAATATATGCACATTAACAAAAAACGCTAAAGTCTTTATTGACATTAGTTAATTGCATTGGATGCAAAGTCGCCATAGACTTTTTGTTTTCTCTCAAAAAACAAAAAGTGTAACATGGACAGAGGAGTATGCATTTTGACTCTCATTCAGACTCATTTCAACTTGTTTAAATGGTCATGATGATATGTCACTATGTCAAGCTGATGTACTCCACTTGGAGAGAAATATAATTATCCACTACAGTAACGACAACTAGATACAAATAGTACTTCCTCTGTCTCAATTTATGTGACTTACTTTCCTTTTTGGTTAGTCTAAAAAAGAATGACACATTTCTATATTAAGTAACAATTTAACTATAAAATATTTCTTTTACCCTTAATGAAATGATTTACAGTCACACAAATTTCTATCATTCATTTTGGACCACAAGTTTTAAAAGTTTTTCTTTCTTTCTTAAACTTCGTGCCGAGTCAAACTACCTCACATAAAATGGGACGGAGGGAGTAATACCCTTTCTATATATGCATTGAGTTAAGACAATTTTTATTTGGTGTAGCAAAAGGAAAAAATATTCATAGGGACACATGATTAAGAATTATGGTATTATAATGAATCGAAAAATAAAATAAAAGATTTTAATCATACAAGTTTTAATTTGATTCTTTAAAGAAGATAACGTGGCAGCTAATCCACATTATCAACCTTCTATTCTAACTTTTAATTTTCATATCAAATTAAATTATGTCACGTGAATTGAAACGAATGATTATAAAGCAAGAATTATGATTGTGAAATATATTGTTGGGTACCCACAAGATTGGGTGCAGCAAAATGCTAGGAGTGGTCCTAATCTTCAATTTAATATTCACATTAAACAAACAACTTGGTCATTGAGAATGTCCATCTCATAAATCTATTTATGATTCAATATCCTCTCATCAATTTAGAAGAAAAATAAAAGAATTTCCAAAAGGTAATTAAGGAACTCAAGGGCTGTCAAATCCAGAACATGTTCATATTCAGGATCACAAAAACAAAAAACTATTTTCGTTTCAATTTGTTTGTCTTATTATCTTTTAGTTTATTTTAAAAATATTGTCTCTTTACTTATCTGGCAACTCTATAATTCAAATTTTTTACATGACATGTTTAAAACTACAAGATTAAAGAACATTTTGGTACATGTATTTTTAATTTAAAACCATAAGATTCAAAAGTGTTTCTTTACTTTGTTAAACTTTGTGTCAAGTCAAAACCTGACAAACAAATTAAAACAGAGGGAGTAATATATAATACATAATATAATTACTGCTTAATTTTGTGGTGTATATTGGAGGTAAGGTTCGATCTCCCTCGTGTTCCACCTTTCTGATGAAATACATACAACATATTTATGTGATAAGTCATATAATTTTATTAAAAATAAAAGAAGCAATTTTAAGGAGAATAATTATATAGAATTACATTCCAAAAGATCTGCATGAATATTAATTGATCATCATATATTATATATATTGGTGAGATGGGAATGCATGAGCTCATAATATATGTATTTTACCTCAAATAATTTGTGTTACTTTTCACCTTCTTCTTGCCATACTTTCTCCATTTATATCCATCATCCAAAATTTCAAGTTGAGTCTTTGTGCTAAAAGCAATAACATGTCTTTCATTCTTCTTTATCATCTCTTTCTTTATAATCCCCACTTTGGATTTTCTGTAAACAAACATCAAAAACTACATAAAGAAATATATATACACACCAATATAAAGAAATATTTAAAATAGATTAAGATCGTACACTTAAACTTGTGATATAGCTAAACTTAATTCCAGACTAGTTAATGCAAGAACTATATATAAAAGAACCAAGATTTCGTATGAAATATATAAAAAAATTGTTAATTCATAACATAGTCCAAACGAATCCACTTAAAATCTTTACTGAATTATGACCAACCATGATATTAGCTAATCTTCTTAGCTTTGATGACTTACTCTTTCAAGTGATTAATATTTGATGGTGTGGCATAAAAGGAAGTGGTAGAACTTGCACTATTGGCACTACTACTACTTATTTCATGCATGGTGGGATTGATTTCTAAAAGAGGAGTATTATTGGAGTTGTTATAGGTAGGAACATAATCAACAAGAAGATGATCAAGAAATGAAGAAAATTCAAAATCTTGATCAAGAAAATTATCTTGAAAATTGTAAGTACAATCTTGATTAGTCATGTGTGAGTAAAGAAAGGGAAAGGTGAAATTAGGGTTTTCTATATGAGGAATGTGTGTTTCTAGGAAGGTGGAGTTCATTGTGTTTAGAGAGAAATAACTAGCCATTAAAACCTAAGAAAGACTTTGTAAGAGAGAGGGATGACTTTTATAGAATGGAAAGTGTGCTTCTATATAGCATTGTTTTGAGAGAGAGAGAGTTTCCTCACCACCTTCCTAGTAGGATCTATGGTGTTTCCAATTTCTTTATCTTCCCCTCTATTTATTCGATATTCAAAATATACTGATTTGATTAATTCAAATTCATGCTACATAGCGTTCTTTTAAAAGAAATTATCGATGCCAGAAGTTTTTCTATTCCTAAAGCTCGAATACAAGATCAAGGTTAAAGTTGGTGGGGAGTCATGTGGACTAAAAGGGGGTCAATAGAATATCTTTATTGAAAATTTATATTATGTATATATATTAAAAATTATATTGACTGATTAAAAAATCAAATTCATTTCACCATACTTCTTGATACTAGTTTCCAATATCACAATCATATGTCCATATCAAAGGTGGGACAATTAACAAAGTCACAAATAAACTCTTTTTTTATCTTTTGTGGAACAAAGTGCATTAAGTAGAACAAGGCATAATTATTTGATATTTTAATATATAAAAGAGAATTGTTGCCTTCACAGAATTAAATATAGGTTACTCTAGTGATGGAGATATTTTTTTCCTTATCATAATTAAATAGTAGAATTTACATTAGTATTTTTAATTATTTTTTTGGTTTATGACTGTCTTTACATTCTCCATTGATATAGTAATTATAAGAAAATTAGACTCCTAATTAAAAAGACTTATATGCATAACAACTGTTAAAAGGAATTAGCTAGCTTTCACGCATTTTAATTATATAGTAAATTAAATTCTGATTGACATTTGGACAAAAAAAGACTTGCTCTTAGAGATAGCAAAACATGTTACCCAGAGGCGACCCACAGTGGATACGCGTGTACCCATTACATTAACTTCAGAAACTTTTATATATATATATATATATATATATATATATATATATATATTATCACACACCCAAATTAATTAAAGACAATAAAACTATTTGAGTTTGCTGGTTTAAACGTTGCACACCTCTAAGGTGAGTGGATTGGATTCGAATCCTACAAATTGATATTGGACGACACGCTTTAACTAACGTACATTTAGCTAATTTGGTGGTGCACCATTCGTATTTCAAGATTTGGGTTCGACTTTGATGTTACCGACTAGTACATATATTTATTTAAAAAGACTAATAATAATAATAGCAATAATAATAATAAAGTTATGCCATTAGAATGTGGCGCGATCAAAACTATATATTTTATGTATATAATATATTAATATACAAAATAAATAAAATGATGGATATTATTTTAGTGAACAACTATTTATATTAATTTCTCTTTCAATTAAGAAAAGGTCACATAAAAAAGAAGTACATAAGGATAAGATGGTATGACATAGCTTCAACTTAGTGATAACATGACCTAAGATATATAGGATATGACATGCATAACTTTAATTTACCGTGAACATGATCCTAGATAAGAAAGTTTAGATATTGAAGAAATATTACGGTAGAAGATCTAGAGTAGTAGGTCCGAGTTAGGTCGCACTTCATGAGGGAGAGACAAGATGCTAGCTCCTCCTAATAATGAAATTACATTGGGTTTTTTATTGGTGTATTTCATAACCGCATAGTTTCTTATTTGTTAATGTGTATTACTATTTTTTACTACATTATTTGTCGGATATCTTGCTATTTGTTGTCATATTACTTTACAACTCTACGTTGAAAAACTTCTTTGTTGAGTCGAGACTATCAAAAACCACATCTATATTCCACAAAGATCGTAGAGATAAAATGTGCATTCATCTCATCCTTCTCAATTCTCATACCACATTTATAGAATTACCCTAATTTATTATTTATCGTATAACATTTTTTTAACTTTCTTTACATTCTTTTTTTATAGTATAGTAAATTATACTCCTAATTAAAAATAATTATATGCATGGAAACTATAAGGAATTAGCTAGCTTTCGCATTTTAACTAAACTATAGTGTATTAATAATTGCACTTGATACTGGCGAATTTTTGTGTAAAAAAAGAGTTACGAATTCTGAATTACCGATTAAACTCAATATATATATTATTTATATAATTATTAAATTATATCTAATCTTATTTGAAGGCAACCAAAATTAAACATGTTTTTTTTGTATGGTTGAGTCTGGCGATTTATATATATATATATATATTTCCACCTAAGAAATTTATCCATTTAATTAAATTGATGATATTTATTTTAATGAGAAACATGTTTTCTTTTTGTTACACATGGTTGAGATTGATGATTTTTAAGTGACAAAAATTAATATAGTGACTCAATGGACATTCATTTGAATGACCACCTAAGAAATTTATCCATTTTATTAAACTCGTGATATTTATTTTAATTAGGAACGTGTCCATAATTAATACTTTGTACTCATTTTTATATTTGATTCATCATTATTTTAGCCTTGACCCTCTGTCAATAGTTCAAACTTGCAGGTATTTAATTTATAAATTATCTTTACGTTTTCGTTAAAACTAAATAAATATATTGGGTAGATATTCAGAAATAAATAAAATGTTTTGCTTGATACACAAGACATTTGAACCTGGAGTCCTGGACTTTAAGGTGAATTTTGCATTCTTAAATCATTGAACCACTTTCTAATATTGTGATTAGGAAATTCATATATATAATAAATTAATATCGTATAATTTTTTATCGAAGAGTTAGGTGCTTTGCCCCCTCCTAAATTGCAATTGACCACAAGTCAATGCATCTTTCTACGGATATCATTTTTCAAAAGGTAAACAAATAAAACCACAACAAACAAGACAATGAGGAAACATGTTTGGACTTTGGATGAAGGTGCACGAGAAGTGAAATTTATATGTACATCAAAATATTTTTAGAAAAATAAGTGAGTTATTTTTTTTATGTTCGTATATAAATTTAAAAAGTCAACTTAAAATTATTTGTATATAATCTACAAACACTACATGAGGTGTGGGTGTGGGGTATGGGATGGAGGTACAATAGTGGTAAAGTCAGAATTTTCACTAAAAAATTTCAAAATATGAAAAAGTAAACACACGAAGAAGTCAAAGAAGATTCAATATCTATGATATATAAATAAAGAATAATTTTAAACATATATAAATATTGTATAAAATTTAAATTAAAAACAAAATAAAAAATAAACCCCCAATTATCACGTTCTAAATGAGAATTTAATTGAAGAGATTTGAACCTATAAATTATGACCATTGACTCAGTAGTCAGTACTATACCAACTATGAAGTGACAATATATGTTTTCCTTCTTTTTTTTTAAGATAATAAGAGCAGAATTTTTTTCCAAATAAATAAATAGAAGAGATGATCCTTATCGAGACAACATAAACTTTTCGATACATTTTTCAACCATAAGATTAGCTTTGTATAGATTTCTAATCGAGTGGACAAATAAAAGTGTCAAACATATATTTAAGAGCGTTCTAACCAAAATTGGCAATGCATATATATATATATATATATATATATATATATAATAAATATTAAATTTTCTAGACTTTTAATATTTTAAACTCGTTATTGAAAATATTGATTTCACCACTAGGCCTAGATACCTATTGGTGGCATTTAGATATATTTTGGATATATTATTGATGTATGTACAAGTACAACCAAGTCAAGATTGTAATTTCCCAACACCTAAAAACACTTATCATAAAATCCAAATTATCACTCGAATTTCCTTGGAAGAATTTTTCAACGGTTTGAAATTTTATTTTGTCCTAATGCATTGTATAATATATGAACTTAAGATCATGCCTTTGACAAATATTTATATTCATGTTATAGTCTTTCAAACAAATCAAGTATTAATTATAAAAACCAGAAAATTTCGCAAGTCATAGTATATATAATGCATGCATCCATAAAACTCGTTTTGGACCCAAAAATATCCACAAAAACTCGTTTTCTGATCAAATAGTAACCGATTTTTCTATCGTGATATATATTATCCATCATAAGGTTTGCTACGAATTCAATTTTTTCACCGCAAAAAACATTAGTAACGAGAATATAATTAGCGACAAACGAAAATCAATGGGTAAGTAAGTATTTAGCAACGGAAAATCATTCTATGGCTAATATATGTTTGTTTATATTGTTATATATTTATGTACCTTACTATGCATGAAATTAAATCGTTTACGAATTTCAACCTAATTTAATAATTAAAATAGAAAGACTAGATTAATTATATTCTAGGTCAACCCCCAAGATTGTGACTTGTCTTTGTTGTCGTAAATAAACTTAGTAATAAAAAACAGATAATTTAATTAAGCTCATAATAT